CCTTACATTTAAGACAGATGAAAAATAAATGGTTAGCAAAATGGGAATCATTCCCCAAATCAGGTATCTGTGTGCAGTCATAATACTGACTTGATCAAGCAAGGATCAAACTGTTATCAAATTAGAAGAGAATGACAAAATATGGTATGCAATTAAGGTAACCAGAATCTGACATATTCAGAATCCACATGCCTCCAAAGCATGAACATTTTCTTCTTAAAAATAATCAGGTATTGGACATGCTGAACACCAAATACCAGCACAAAGAGCTAAAAAGGTTATACTTAACAGAAGAAAAAAATTGCCATTAATATGGGAGTGAAGTATGAGTCAACCATATACTGTGAATCCACTTGTTAGAGCTAAGATCAGACCTTGTTTGTTTTTTAAAAGAATAACAATAAAGAGATAGTATAAAGCAGAAGCAACCTTGAAGTGAACAGGTAACCAAAAATCAGTAATGGGAAATAAACAGAAATGACATCAATGCTGATTGTCATAGTTTTATCCAGAAGTTTAACCAATGCAGAAATTCACAAGAACCCAGAAATTGCCTTAGTCAGCAAATATCTGATTCACTTGCCAACAGGCAACACCAGGTTAGAGTATAAACTTGCTTGTAAAACCTTACAAAGAATGACGGATGGCTGGTTTTAAGTCATAAAGAAAAAAATAGTAGAAGGCAAAACCAGTTTAAAGAAAGACTGGCAAGATATCCAACCAAGCAAAGTCATCTCAAAGGCATTTAAGAATGAAAATCAAAGGGTTACAAATGAAAGAATTTGAAAAACATGTGTAAAAACCATTATAACAAACTATTTTCTCTGTCAAAAGAGAATGGAATCACCATATTTTGAACTTAACTGAGTGCTTGGCATATAGTAAGTCCTTAATAAATACTTTATCTAACATCATAATCCTAGATGTGCTTACAGAGAAGATGGCAATACAGGACAAAGATTGGGAAAGTGTTCAGATATGACTACATAAGTATTATAAAGAATATTATTAGAGACATGTGTGCCCAGAAAAGGTGGTGCTATAATGTAATGAGAAGGCTAATCTATGGGCATCCTAGGTGTTCCACTGTTATTTCAATGTCAAGAGATCTAAAGGAAGGCTCCCAGCATGAGTGGAAGGCCCGTGAAGGATTTTATAGGAGGACATAAACAAGAGGAATACAAGGGGGTCATGATCTCAATTAGAGATACCCGTAACAATCTAATCAGATATGAAAAGTTCTGTTTAGTAAACGATTCTAGAATTTGTTTTAATTTTTTAATTAAGCTGATACAGTAAATTTTTTAATACGAGCATAAACTGCTTAACTCCATTAAAAGGCTCCACACAAATGTAATAGTTGAAATTATGATACTGGAGCACTTTGTTCTACAGGAATGGGGTTACTATGGAAGATTCTTAAGCAACTAAAATCCAAGCTATGAAAGTTTACATTGGGTTTTTCAGAGATGTTGCATAATATAATCTTTTATAAAAGTGTAAAGAAAATCCTTATTTCCCATACCTCATCCCCTTTTACTGAAGCAGAAAATAACATTTCTTCCTCAGACTTGCACAGCTCTGTACCTCTCTTTAGGTTCTTCCTTTCATGGAAAGGATGGCTGATTGGTTCTACCTAACATACTGAAAGTCTTCCCCTATTCCCCTAGTTCGTCTATCTCTGTTCCTCACTCTTAAAGCATGAAAAGGTTCACCTCTTCTTTCAGTCACATATGTCCCTGATGATGTCTTTTATCCCACTGTTTTATACAAACATTGTTGGTAATATGCTACACCTTCTTCATATCAACTATAGATCCTTCCATTGTCCTTAGGAGTCAAATGTAAATGTGATTCTTCTAAAATGGTGGTGGTTCCATGATTCACAGCCTAGGATTACTGAAAACACCACACATTTTACCAGTCCAAGAAATTGGCCTTGTTTTTGTGTATAGTGGATAATACAATAGCTGTTGAATGAGTGAACCTGCTTTCTATTTGCCAAAAATGGACCAAGGAAACACTCATGAAAATTAAATGATTAAATTAAGGCCAATCAGCAGTAAATAAAATTAGTCAAGAAACAAAAATCCAAACTTTCACTTATGCTGTTCTATTATTAAACATGACCTTAAGTATATTATCATAAAACTTTAAAAATGCAGGAAAATTTCACATATAAAAGACTAAGCACTAGTATTTACAAGGAACAACTTTAAAAATTACACAGAGAGTGGCATTATGCCAAGTGTTTCTCAAATACATTACTGATTTTACAGGGACAAAAGAACAGTGAGAAAACATTTTGCATAAAGGTACAAGAAATAAAAACTGAAATCAGACATATTCAACATAAGCTAAATAAAATTTGGACTAATATAGAAATACAGTAAACCATGGTAGAATTTAAAACAGACCAAAGTAAATGAATTTAAAAGTAGCCAGCAAGGTGACTATGATACAGTTACAACTCACTACCAACAGAAAATTAATTAGGATTATATATTGTATCAGATATTATTAAACTATTTCACAAATTTGAGCACAGGCCTCATCTGCTGTGAATAAAGCAATATTCAACCCACATTAACGAAAATACAATACCTGACTTTTTAAAGTGTTTTCCCCCTCTATGCTTTATAATTACAATCTTGAAATCTCTACAACTGAAAAGATAAATTATTAAGAGTTGTTCAATCACTTTACCAAAACCAAGGAAAGCCTGGGACTTTACGACAACAGGACAACAGGAACTTCGCTAGTTCACCTAAGAAGCAGAATTACCAGTTATATTCCTCTAAGAGTATACAAATATATTATTTATCTCATTTTCAGCCAATCCAAATAAATGAGGTAGTAGACCCAGGAAGATAAAATACTTTTCTAAAGTCTTATCTTTTTTTTTTCATTGTAACAAAAATTTTAATAGTTTGTGAACCACTTTAACCTTCAAAACATTTGTCAACACAGAGTTTTCATTAACAAGGAAACTTCTCCAGATGCTTTTCAATGAATTAAGTTTCCCAATATCACTTGAAAATGTAAATAACCAAAGACTCTGAAAGGTCACCTAGTTCAAGGACCGCCCCCCCATGTTCATGCTACACAAAGCAATACAGACATTAAAGAATTATTATTTTAAAAGACCTGTAAAAAATGCTGCTGCATATTTCAAGAACCTATCTGTATAGAAATATTAATAACAAATACAAACAGGTTTATCAGAGTTATAAAAAGTAAATACTCCAAAACAACTTTAATGTAAAAAATTCTGAAAATAATACAAACTTGATTCACTCAAATCAAAATGTAAAATTCCAAAAGATAACTTCAAGCAGTAAGCAATATTGATTCATAAATTATAAATTGTAGCATTTTTTTGATGGGAAGGAGGGAGTGTTTACAAAGTAAATGAACAAGAATCCTAAAACTTTTACTGATGGTGATAATAAAATTTAACAATTTAATTCTTTTAATCCCAAGTCATAAACTTCTTATCAAAACAAATCACCAAAGAAAAAAAAACCTTACAAAACAATGAAAGGTTTAGAATTTTGCAAGTGAAGAAAAATGGGTGCATCAAGTGCCAACTGTGAATCCAATTAAGTTAGCTGACAAAGGAAACTTTTTTAAAACTGCAACAAATACATAAACATAAATTAGAAACACTGTATCAACATTAAGTACCAAAATAAAAACCTTGAAAAACAAAAATTTTTTTAAACTGGAAAAGCCTCAAAACATTTAGAAAACAATGAAAATATTTTAATGTAAAATTAAGTGACATCAAAGAAATTTCTGTTATTTAGAGCTATTTATAAAAACCACAAGCAGTTCAAGATCTTCATATTACTAGACTGTGAAACAGAAAGAATTTCAAACTGTAGGTAGCAGAATTGGTCTAAACAATGAAATGTGAAACACTCAATGTACAAAGGCAGGATTGGGCCACCTACATCTAAATTACAACTTATATATTTACAGAACAAAATCAGCTAGATTGAAAATTTTGCTCACACTTAAATATTCATTTGAAAAGTCCTGCAAAAAAAAAAAATAAGTCATTGAAAAACAGTCCAACATACATTTGAGAAACTACTATTATGGAAAGAGTTAAAAAAAAACTTTTCAAAGGTATTAGATTTTTTTCTTTCCTCTTTTATTAAGTTAATTGACACATATGATTACCAGTAAATTTGTACTTTACAGCTTTAAAGTGTTATTCCTTTCCTTACTTAAAGAAAGCTTGCGGTTTTTCCCAAATACAAAATGCTGTAATATTTTGAAGAGTATTTATACAAAAATGTAAATGTCCTTCAAGTTACTGCCAGTCCAACTAGCTTAGTCATTTCAATTTTTAAAATGATTTTTAAAACACTTTACTTTGATCACATACCACACTGCCTTTTCTATTCTAAAAGTACACTTTCTATGATGTCTAAATTAAGGTACTCTTATTACAATTCTTCTACCATACTTCTTTGAAAGAATGTACTAGTAGCCATTCTACCATAGAATATCACATAGAAAACCTATCATTTAAAACACCTTCACCACCACGATTAGGGTATGAGAAAGTATGATAAAAGTATCATATCGTGCCCCATAAAATGCTCTCATATTCTGGTTTTTCAATGCTACAGATTTTGATTCATTTTTTTCTGGCTGTGAGGAGAGTGCCTGCACAAAGCACATCAAGGATATAAACTGGAATAAATAGTAGAGAGGACTGAAGTGACATTGAGAGATTCTTTAGTCCTTCCCCTGTGGCTCCAGACAGGACTACAATTTAAAGCGTCCCAGAAGAAAATTCAACAACCTTCCGGAGAGAATAGTCAGGAAGGCTCAATTTGATGTAAGTTCTTATTCTGATGCCTGAGAAGCTCTAAGCTATAAAGGGTAGAATCGTAAATTCACTTTCTTCATCATCAAAAAGGATGCTGCTAAAAATTACTTTATTTTAATTGCAGACTTTAAAAAAAAAAGATCATAAGAGTTACCTGTTGAACAAGGCATCTGGAAATTGGGATCATTGCTATCCAAAACAGGCAAACAGAACTGGTTACTCGCAGATCCTAGCATAGGATCCTTATCGCTGAGCATGTTCTTCAGCGAGTCCTCTAAGACATTCTGACTTGTACTAAAATCCTCACAGACTTCATTCTCCAGGTTGGATCCTAGAAATAGGGCATCATCTAAGTGTTCAGTAGGAATTAAATGATTAAATGTATCAACTATATCCATGAAGACTTCTGTGTGTCTTTCAGCCCTATAGAAAGACAAAAAAAATATCATAAGAAATAAAGCTATCAAATGTAAAATCACCTAAAACCAAATTATTTTCTTTTTCCTGTTTTGAGTCTAAAAGACCACTTAAGGTATTTCTGAATTATTTCTTTTTTTAAAAAAAATTCTCACTGCTGTAGACTATGCATTTGGAAATTCAAAACCAATATTTATTAATATTGATTCACCATGCATGTAGAATGGCATATTCCTGGTTTACCTGTTGACAGGCTACAAGATATTTATATTTTTTTAAAAGAAAAAAATCATCAAATCTCAAATTATATAACTAAATACAATAACCCATTTTAAGTCTGTTTTAGATAAGTTAAATTTAAACTATCTTCTACAATAACACCTAAAATATACATAGAGTAAGTTTGAAAGTAAATTACACTCTTAAAAGCATTTTATGCCATTACTGTGAAAATTATATCAACCTCAGTTTATTTGTAAAGCACTGTGAACTTTAAAAATATGTACAAAGCATTCTAGAAAGTCAAAGTTTAAACTACACTAAGATTTTTAGCACACAGCATAAAAATCCAATTTCCTGTGCATTTACTTTCAAGAAAAAGAGGCAACTGATAACAGCAATGTTAATTTTTAAAATTACTTCATGAGTCTGTGTGTATACACACACACATATCCAGGAATTGATACAGCTTCCCCTCAATCTCTCTACATCTGTATCAATCATGAATGTTATCCAGAACGAACATCCTCAAGTACTAAAAGATCGACCACCAAATATTCACTGATCAGTATCCTAATTTACTACAGGCATAAAAGTGAACTAACACCATTTAGAACATTTTTCAAAAGAAAAGGAAATTTCTGATTAATGCTCATTTAATTTAGGTTAATATCTACTTCAATACAATTTAGACTATCAAAAATCAGATTAATACACTTTAAAAATTTTCAACAAAAAAGAGAATTTCTGATTAATACCAGAAAATTCTATTAATCAAAAGACCTAATCCCCAGGCACTCAATTCTACTACAGTAAATGCTAAGCCATAATCAGATGAGCCATAATTATTAGCCATGCTATCCCTAAATCTTCTATAATCACTAGGAACAAGAATTGAAAAAAATATTGCTGTCCAGCCCACACTAACAATTCCTTGAAGGGTATAGATATTTTTTCTCCATAAAAATGAAATATCTAGATCAAACAGCAAAAACAAAATATCTAAATCAAACGGTAGAAATGGCTAAAGGAAAAACACCTGAGATATCTTACTCAATAATGTCCTTTCTCAATTAACTCAAGTCAAACTATTTGTAATTTCATTAAATATACCAATGAGTTAAGGTATCAAAATTTGAAGGATTTAACTTTTAAATGCAAACTTTTTTTCAACTGGTGAGTTTTACATAATCCCCATTTATAAGCACTATCAGTGATAGCGTGTCTCACTTTGTATTTCTAAAAGAAACAAATCATATATCAAACATTCTTCCCTGCAAGTGGGTTCTACTAAACTATCTACAATCTGGCCTGGTCTCCTTGTGATAAACTTATGTAAGTTTTTTCCCACGTAAAGCAAGCAAATATATAACCAAAGACAAAGAAATTGCAGCTAAATGGAAGAATAGCCCAGGGATTCTACTTGGGGATGTACTATGCCTAAAAGCAATAAAGAAATATATTTCATGTGATACTTGGCTAGATCAGCTTGCAATGAAAAAGCCTAAGAAAACATCACTGGAAAGTAGTTGGCACTTATGTCTCTCAAAAACTGTTGGAGAATATTAAGAACCAGAGAAATTCTATGAAGAATATAACAAGACCCTCCCAAATTTAGTCAACATATACTTTAATGTTTAGTGACTTACATGTGGAGATGAGGCTTATCAAGACAATAAAAACACACTGGAAAAACATACTTTTGCTTGTCCCTAGCACACTATTAAGCACTAAAGAAAGGCAATGGAGAATTATAAAGACAAAATGAAAAACAATTCCTGCCCTCAAGGAGCTTACATTCCACTAGGAAGTTATAACACAACTAACATATTTCATAATCATTTAAGTAGGGATAAAGAAGTAAAAACAAGTAGTAGGGTCATCAAGAAGTTTCCCAAAAGAGGTGTCACATAAAGTAAGTCTTAAAGGAAGCCAGCGATCCTAAGAAACAGAATTGAAAGAGTATATTCTAGGTAGTCTGTACAAAGGTACAGATGTATGGCACGCAGTCAAGAACAACAAGTATCCCAATATGTATAAAGGACAGTAATATGAGATAAGCCTGAACAGGTAGGCTAGAGTCAGCCTGCGAAGGCTTTAAAAGCCAAGCTGATCATATTTTATCCTAGAGAAAATAACTGAAGCTGAAAAGTAACATATTCAGACTTCTGCTTTAGGAAGATTATTTCAGCAACTGATCACAGCAAGGAAAAATGAAAGTCATGAACATAAATTAAGATGTTGCTGCAATAGCCTAGGTAACAGGTGAGGGCCTGAAATAGATGGCTTTGTGAATAGAAAGAATATGCAAGAGATATTGTGGAGGTACAGTTAAAAAGATTTGGCTACTGATTAGATATGGCATAAGTGAGAAGTAAGTGTCAAGGATGAGTATGAGGTTGAGAATTTGGATGGAAAGATGGTCACTCTTCTTGAGAAAAAGAAATCTGGAGCATGAATGTACTGGGTGAAAGAGAAATAAATGAGGTTTCTGAAATGACAACAGAGCACCCAGTTGGAAATATAGGACTGGATCTGAGGAAACAGATTAGGGCTGGATATACAGATCTAGTAATCACCTGCATAAAGATGATAACTGAACTCATGAGATCTCCAAGAAAAAAAATTTTTAAAAGCAAAAAAACAAGCTTTCTGTTTGTCACTAAAATGTTTTACAGTATAGGACAAGCCAATGTTTTCTGACTAATTATTTCACAAGTCTCCTTAACAAATGCTACTTTCCAAGCAAATTGGACTATTGTTGTTTTTGGTACACTACATTCCAATTCCCACCTTTGTACATGCTATCCTCCTTTCTTCTATGTTCTGGAATCTCCAACTCCCTTTAAGACTTAGCTCAAGTGCAACCTCCTAATTTGAGGGCACTCCTTATTTGCCCAGTGGTTGGCACTCTCCCTTCTCACCAGTTATTTTATATTTTCCTTATGTAACTATTTATCAGTGTCCCAAGTTCTCTCCAAATAGAGTGAAAAATTGAAGAACAGAATCAGGACTTGCTTTTCTAAAACTGTTTGATCTTTGCATTTTTAGCATCTACTACAATATATGCTGGTTCAATGAATGCTTTCTGAAAATTTTAGACAAAGACTGCAGAAAGAAGAGGTCTCAGGACAAAACCTTCTTGGGGCATGTAAGATTAAGAGGCAAGAAACAGATGACAATTCACCAAGAGAAAACAAGTGGTCAGACAGAGAACTAGAGAGGAAAGCAATGTCACAAAAGCCCAAGAGGCTCAGGAGAAGTTGGTCAACAGTGCCAAAAGCGGCAGAGACCAAGGAAGATGAGTGCTGATAACACCCATAAGATTTATCAATTAAGAGATAACTGGTAACCTCACAGAGAACAAATTCAAAGGCTAAAACCCAATACCAAAGGATGAAATAAGAGAACACCGTCTGCATTTACAGCAGTTTCCAACCTACCTGCTTAAATAAACTAAATTTTAAAAAAAAGCAAAGAGAAGAATAAGATATTTACTCTCACTATTCATTATAGGAATTTAGGCAATGTAAAAGAGTAACAAACAAGGAAGCTGAGATTAGAAAAGCTGGTGAAATAATGGAATAATACTGTGCCCTAAGAATGATGAAAGAAACAGTTTCAAAAAAACCTAGGAAGGCTCGTGAGCAGAAGGAGGGAAATAATTTATACATTAAAAAGACAAATAACTTTGAAAAACTTAAAAACTCTGAGCAATGCAACCATGATTTCAGAGGACTGATAAGGAAGCATACTATCTATCTTCTGAAAAGTGATGGACCCAAAATGTAGAATGAAATATAAATTTTGGGTCATGATCCACATGGGAATTTATTTTACTTGACTAAACACATTAGTTACAATGGCTTGGGGTTTTTTTTCCCATTTTTTTTCAATGGTGGGCAGGGGAGAGAAAATAAATACTTGTTAATTGAAAAATAAACTTTTTTAAAGAAGCAGTTGAAGAGAAAACAAATCTGTGTGATAACTAGGCCAGAATCATAGAGTTAAGAATCTCAAAGTTTGAAGGAATCTGAGTTCATCCAATGACTATGTGAATAAGAATCTTTCCCTACAACATCCCTGACAAGTAATACCGTTAGCCAATAGTAGAGAAGAGCCTACTACCTCCAAATCAACTCAAAAATACTTATAGATAAAACTGGGGGGAGAAGTGGGATTGGGAAACATATCTTCTAGTGTTTCCATAGTGACCTACTTGCATCAGCTACTTTAGTGAAAAACAGTATTTCTGGACTCTACCATCTCAGAATTACATTCTGATTCTAATCTCTCATACAGACTTGATTTCATAAGTGAAAAAGAAGCAACAATCCTTAAAAATACAAAGTTGGGGAAGACCAGCTCAACCTGACCAGCTTTATACAGAAGAAATCCATACCGTGGAAGCAATATAATGTTAAAGACAATGAATAATTATTTTCAGGATCTCAAAGAACAGAAGATTTAAAAAGAATGGAAAAGATCACAGTCGTTACACTTTCATCCAAAAATAGCAATCAAGGCAATTTCATCCATTTTAATAAAAAGTTTATTTACCTTTATCATTTCTACAATATCTCTGAGGAAAGTATGGGAAGGTATGTGGAATGCAGGACATTCTTGATAAAAATATATATTACTCAGAATTGGAAGAGATCTTAGATCAAATCCCTAATCTTATGGAGGGGGAAATTGAGATTTGAGAGCCTAAGGGACTAACATACCCAACAGGACTGGTATTCAAAACCCAGAGACTGTTTATCTACACCATACTAAAAACAGGC